TCACACATCTTTTCTTTAAATGAATGTGAAGATTAGTTAAAAAACTGTCTCCAAACCAAGTGGAACCAAACTTATCCAGTGAGGTAGACTGTTTTTGAAGTGGATGCAGGAGAAACAGGGCAACTTGTTAAACTTTTATGTCACCTTAATTTGTCAGGCAAACACCACTATGTTTTTCCTCTCTGAAGAATTCGCAAACTTCTAAATCCACCCTAGTGACAGAACTAAAGGAATCTGGTAGGATATTCTGCAGCGGAATGTACCAGAAAACCAGCTTCAGTGTTCTGCTGTTTGGGGTAAATTTATATCATCATGGGAATATGATGTGTTGATTTTCATAAGATGGCCAAGCAATGAGTATTGGATTTATCTTGCATCCTATCAAGCATTCTGGAAAGTTCACTCATGCTTGAGTGGGAAACCTATCGTTCCCTCAGCATAATCTGCCTGATAAACAGAAGCATCAGAGGCAGGTTAGAAGGGGAAAGAGTGATCATCAGCTTGGAAGTCTAGCCCTGATTCTCTTCAACAATGGAGTGTACAGCTTTATTTAGGAATGTTTTTGTTGTTCATTTGTTTGTTTTGGATTTTGTTTTCGTTTCTATCAAAAAAAAAAAAGAATGTGTCATTTGGGACAACTTAGAATGTTAACTGTACTGTACATAGGCCCCACTAATGGTTTTCAGTCCATCTTTGAAATAGAGATGAGAATGATGTCTTCTGTTTTTGAGACAGGGTCTCACTCTGTAGCCCAGACTGGCTCCAATCACAGACATCCTTCTGTCTCACTGTCCAAGTGCTAGAATTACAGGTATCGGCCACTAGGACCACACCCAGATGATAACAATGTCTCTGATATTGTTTTACCCCAAGAAGATGAGGCAATGCATGTATTTTTAATATTGAAAATTATATGAGTTTACAACTTCAGTCATAGAAAATATGTCCAGGAGTCACGGAGTTCCCAGGGGAGAGTTACACTCTTCAGCTAAGCTTAGTGATGTCCACATTAAAACCTTGAGGGGCTTCAATCCTTAGCACTTGGGGTAGGGGACTAAATGTAGATTTTAGATAAAAGGCTTTCATTCTCAAATTAAATTTGACAATTTGATTTTAATTTAACAATTTACTTGTTATAAACCACCTGAGAAGCAGCTCCCACCTCTCTTCAGTCTCTCCATTCTTACTTCCATCCCATCCTTCCCTAGTCTCAAATAAATGGGTACAAACTTCCACATAAGTTCCTTTCTTTATGCATTTGACTTCTAGGAGTGATTCAAGCCATCAGATAGTAACTTGGATAAAGAAAGTAAGGTGAGGGGCAAGGAAGAGATGGCCTAGCAGCTAAGAGCACTGGCTGCTCTTGCAGAGGCTGTAGGTACACTTTCCAGCACACACATGGCAGCTAACAACTATCTATAACTCCAGTTCCAGGGGATCCAATACCCTCTTCTGACTTCCCTGAGCACTACATAACATGTCTGCCCTTACATATACACCCATACAAATTAAAACAATAATAATAAATAAAATTTTTTTTAAAGAAAGTAAGATGAGCTAAAATGCCCCACCATCATAGGCGACTAGGTACGTTCAGGGTGGTATGGCTGTAGATAAAATCCCTTATCACCAACGTAGTTGTCACTTTCTTTTCTCAGAATATTTTCTGAATGCAAAGTCCCAAACTCATGCATGAAGCTAAGAATTACTAAAATCAATAACTGTTAGTTGCCTTTCTGTCCACTTAGATAGTGCTTGACAATGAAAAGTGTCCAGAGCTTTGGCTATGCAACATGTTTTGTTTAGGGGGTTGTATAAATTTTCCATTAGCTTTAGGAATAGTGCCATGGGGAAAAAACTTGGAACCAACTATACACAGATACACCCCCCCACACACACACACACAATATACACAGTTTGCCCTATTGTGGCAATTTATTTCATTAACAAAGTAGAAAGGGGGCTATCAAGATGACTCAGTAGGTAAAGGTGCTTAGCCTACAAGCCTGACAACCTGAGTTCAATCCCTGGGGCCCACTTGGTAGAAGGAGAAGACAGACTCCTGAAAATTGCGCTCTGACCTCACAGACACACACAAAATAAATGGACGCAATACAAAAGTTTTAATGAAGTAGAAAAACTTAACTGGTAATTTTATCTTTGTTTTCCTGTTTGAATCCAAAATACTCCTGAAAACAGGGAAACAGTAGAAATAATTCCTTCACTTTCAAGTACGTATTGAAGTATTAGGCAAGACTATCAAGGGAAAATTAAATCTAATACTGCCCAGATGTCATCTCTAAAATACTTGAGAGTCAGAAGAAGCTATAACTCCATCTCGTAGTATTTGATTTAGTTGTCAGTGAATAGCTTGGAAAGCCAGTCTCATGTCAGCAAAAAACAGCAGAAATAAGCTTTCTGAATACCTATAGAGCACTACTTCTGACATCTCACCAAAATCAAGACACAAATCCTGCTTTCCAACCTCAGAGCTTGGTTATGTTTTCAATCCAAAGTCCAGCCCTCTACTCTACAGAAGGAAATTTCTTTCTAATCAGACTCTTTTATTACTTGCTCACTGAGTGAGCTAATTTCAGGACAGAGTCTAAGAGTTCACCCAAGGCAAAGCTCCTGAACCAAGAGTTAGCGGTCAGGAAGGCCACATGAGGAGCGAGGAGATGGGATGGATGGAAGCAGGTAAGGAAGGGAGCCAGGGAGGACCAGGACCTCAGACAGAAGTGGGCTATGCTTCGTAACCACTATACAAATCCTTGGAGGAGTGTTTCGATTGTCAGTCCACCTGGATAACCTCCCTGCCCCTTGTACGATGGCATCTTCTTTTTGGCAAACCAGGAGAGTGCTCAGCATGCTCAGTGACCCCAGCGTCTCCACTCTAGCCTTCAAATTTGTTTTTTAATGATGAGAAAGAGTTGAAGTAACAGGAAATATGATAAGAATATCTAAATCCAGTGCAATTTAAATGCAGAAAACTTGACAACTTCTCTTAAGGTCGACACGGTGATTACAGCCTGGAAGGATTCCAAAGTGCCTGTGAGCACACCTGTAAGCATTCCATCCAGAAGCTTCCCACGTGTTCAGGCTTTAAATAGCATACCGATCACCCCATATCACCCCACATACTGAACACAGAACACCACTTCTGAGAGAAAATGCTGTGCCTGTGTGAATCACCTATGTGAATGGGCCCCTTCATTTGCTATCATATGAAAATGGGTATGCATGGGAATCCTAGACGCAAAACTGTTCATCTCTTGGAATTTCTTATTTAAGGCTTCTCTTACAATTCTGATATACCATGGAAAATGACAGTATTAGTATAAATATAATAAGGGAATTTTCCCCATGCTATGTTATAAAATAAATGTTCACTATGAATCTGGAAATAAAAGCTGTTTATTATCCACACACAACAAAGAATTACTTGTGATGTTCAGCAACGATATGAAGTTCTATGTGTGTCCAATTTTTGAATCCCCACTGCAAGTAAACCCACAATCCCATCTTTACAAGAGGCCCTAAGTTGATGTAGTTCAACGTTCCAAGCCCAGGCCTCCTTCAAATTTCTGATGTGCCCAATTCTAACCTTATTCAACTCCAGCTATGATGGATCGTCAACCCAGCTTCCATCCTGGAACATCAGGAAAAATGACTCATTTTAGATAGCTCTGCTGATTGTTCTAGAACATACTATATGTACATGGTCCAGGGATTGACATTCTGAAATCCAAGGTTCCTTCAAAACCGTTTCTAAAACAACCTTGCTGAGAAACTAGACACCAGGCTCAACCCACACTCTCTTTACAGGCCTTGTAACCCACTGATCGCACATTTTCAATGATGTGCTGTTCAAAGAACAGTGAAGAAACTGGAAGTCAGACAAATGATATGAATAGCAACCAGGAATGCTTCGTTACTGGGTCAAACTGGATTAATATGTTGCTTTATTTAGGATCTCTATGAAACTGAAAACCACACAACCTTTAAACTCATGGCTTTTATGACAATCAGTCCCACTTTCCTTTGACTTCCTCCACCACAAACTTCTTCTGACCTGAAAGTTCCACTATGAGGCATGAAATTAGTCTTTAATCAAAGTATCTCTTGCATCAGGTCAGAAGAGAAAATTTCAGAGGGAATGATGTCTATGTTACAGCAGGAAACCTCTAAATACATTCAGCAGGCCCTAGCACACAGCCTCCTGCTCTTATGGCTACAAGTAAATCTCAAGATCAACAGACATTCCATTATTCATTACTACAATATTCTTCTCTGGCCCTATGGAGAGTGTTTGGGGCAACCCAAGAAAATGACACCCCAGTGAGTAGCTTCCTTCGAAGTGGCAGCCCAAAGGCCACCCTGAGTTCTACACACTACCATCCTGCAGCACATCTGTAGAAGCTTTTGAGGACTTTCTCCAGAGTCAGTTGGCAAATGAAATATTAGCTATGTCTTTAACAAATGAATCATTATTTACCTCCATACCTTAAAAACTATAGCTCACATCCCTTATTCATTGCATTCTGCTTTTAGTGCCCTTAAGGTATTTTACTCCAATCAAATCGACTGCATAAACCATTCTATGACTAAGAGTATTATAGGGACACACATAACAACTCCAGAATGCTACATGCAGTTCAGGCGATGTGACCTGATTGGGATATTTTAGAGCCTCCCACATGGAACACAATACATGAAAATCAGACTCATAAAATACTGGTGTCTGACACAGATCAACCTAAGTTCATTGTCGTGTTTTATATGAAATTCAAGAAATAACTTTTAGCTAGCTTTCCATGCTAGCTTCAGATTATAGTAAAATAAATTTGGCTAATATATACTTTCATTCCTGTGTAACAAAGGTAAAAAAAATCAAATTCTAATTATTAGAATAAGAAAATATAGCCCTCTACACTACTAAGTCAATTTTACTGTCTTAATTTAGAAGACGTGTACTAATCATTTAGCAATGAAATACTTACGCCATGATGCCTGAGAGGTGGAACATTTCAGCTGTGATGTAGGACAAATAGCTGTACAGGAAGACAAAGAGTGGCTCTATCACTCGGATGTTATGTGTGAAACGAGTGGTGAATGCAGCTATAAATCCCAGGAAGATGCCAATCAGCACCCCGCCAATTCCCACCACGAAGAAGTTAGCAATGCCTGCAAACACATCAATGGTCTCGATGGTTTTCATCTGGCAGAAGGACTTAAACAAGTTGTACAGGACCTATGGGAGTAAAGAGAAACACAGTCAAGATCCTCTCTAGGGCTGAAGAGACCACTCAGTAGTTAAAACACTTGCTTACAGAAGCCTGAGGACAGGAGTTGGGATCCCCAACACTCAAGCAAATGCCGAGTGGGTGTGCTGAGCTAGCCTGTAATTCCAGCATTCTGGAGGCAGAGAGATATCCAAAGCCAGCTAGCTAGCCAGAGTACCTGCATCAGTGAGCTCTGAGTTCAACTGAGATGCCGACTCAAAGGAGAGTATTCAAGAAAGACTCCCTATGTCAACCTGAGACCTTCACATACGCACATATGTGCACACATACCCAGAGACAAATGTACACACAACACACATGCAAACAAACACAAGCATGCACAGAGAGAGAGAGAGAGAAAGAAAGAAAGAAAGAAAGAAAGAAAGAAAGAAAGAAAGAAAGAAAGAAAGAAAGAAAGGCTGAAGAGATGGCTCAGTGGTTAAGGGCACTGGCTGCTCTTGCAGAGGACCCGGGTTCAGTTCCCAGTACCTATGTGCTGGCTAACAGCCATCTGTAACTCCAATGCCAGGAAATCCATCTGACACTCTCTTCCTTCTGACCTCCATGGGCATTGCATGACACAGGTGCACTTATACATACGCAGGCAATACACTCATACACATAAGATAAGAATAATAATTTTTTTTAAAAAAGAAAAAAAAACCCATATAACTTCCCCATTATGATCCTGTGCACAGACTAACCTTCCTGGGTTTCTGAGAAGAGCATTTCTTTTGTGTACACAAGTGGATGATAAAGGACAATTATTGTATAGTTATTTCTCACATATCTTAATGCTGTGGCTTTAAATAATCAAAATCTTTGGTAAAAATGTATAATCAGGCAAACTATATTTTAAAAGTAAAGAAGATTTCAAAGCTATTATCCAAATTCTTCCTAAAACATTATTATTTACAGATAACATCTAGAATGAAATTTTTGCCTTATTTTTATTTTATGTGTATGTATGTATTGTGTACATGTGTGTGAGTGCACCTGCATCATGCAATGCCTGAAGAGGACAGAAGAGGGTGTTGGATTCCCTGGAACTGAGTTATGGATGGTTGTTAGGCAGCAGGTGGGTGCTGGGATTCAAACCCAGGTGTTCTGCAAGAACAGCCAGTGCTTTTAACCACTGAGCCATCTCTCCAGCCCCTTAGGATGACATTTTAAAATGCTTTCCACGGGACACACCCAGCTCATATTGTCTTTGCTCAGAAACCATGTATCACAGGGAAGCTTATTGGCCTTCAGTGAAAATGTGTTTACCCTACAAGGTCCTATCACATTTTCACAGCATGGAAGAGGCACACCCTTCAATACCAGTAGCCAACTGAAGTCCTCCTCCTAGGTAACCAGTCTTCACTTCATATCCCCACCTCCTGTCCCACCCACATATGCAGCATGCATGATAATATGAAGTCTGAAGGAGGTTTCTTGTTTCTGCCATCATTTCATGTGTGTTTTATGCCTCGAAAGTAATGAAACCGCTACCTTTTAGTTTCTGGGCAGGGTGGGTTTAATTAAGGCTTCCAGAATGCTGCTGACTTCATGTTCCATGGGCAATATGTTTTCATCCCTGCGTGGAAGCCACGGAGCCAGCTGGAAGAGGATGGACTGGCTTTTAAGCTTGGTCACTTTTTTTTTTTCACAGCATTAGAGAGTCAAATGTAAGTAAAGCAGGCTTCCTGTGTGTTTTCCAGAATCTTCAGGAGAGTTAACTGGGAAGGACAACGGAGCCAAGGGTTGTGCCATACCTTCATTTGGCTTCTGAGAAAGTAAAAATTGATGCAGTTTGTCCACGGCCAAATGACACAAAATGTCAGAGGCAATACTAGATTGCAGGTTTCTTGACCTGGATAAGGTTTCCAAGGTTCAACCATGTGTGAGGGAGTCAGCTGGCTCCTGATAACCAGCCTGTGTCCCAGCAGATCCCACATCGCTGCTTCTAGCTCATGGCCATTTATAGAGTCCACTGTTATCATAGGCTTGGCAGAAATCTATTCCTCTTTTCTTCTGGATTATAAGTTCCTTGGGGTCAACCAGACCTTTATTACAATTTCTATGTTCCGTGTTCCCTAGTGGAGGCACCCCTGCCTACTTTCAACTTGCTGCAGGAATCAGCATATGTCTACTGTCTGCTCTGTTCCACAATCACTTCCTAAGAGGGAACTGGAGAGGTGATATACACACTCCTTACCTCCAAACTGCCGAAGCCAAAGGTGACAGTCACCAACATCTTGGAGAGAGGCGGCTTTCCCAGATTGTTTGGTGGTATGCCATTTTAGGTATTGAATTGAAAGTCTCCCTCCAGGTCCACTTAGATACTGAAGTTCTGTCCTTCTGCCTGCTTGCCTCCCGTCTTCACCCAGGAGTCTCATATCACCCTCTGTCTAATCTACCCTCCCCTAGGACCACCAACAATATTTGTTCTTTTTAAATGCTGTCCTTCCATTTTCTATCCCCGAGATTCAAGGTCTTTGGTTACCTGACTTTGGGAAGGCCTGATAGTCTCAATATACATGGGGCTCGCTCCTTCCTTCCCTTCCTCTCTTCCTTCATCTTTCCCTCCCTTCCCTCTCTTATTTTTACTGATTTCCAACACCCCGAAAAGTCTGGGGCAGCGCTCCACCACTAGACCACAGACACATTGTATTAATCATTTCTGCCTCTAACCTTATTTCTTAACATTTTCCATGGCTAAAAGAAACCCCTAAGCGTGGATAAACTTTATCTGTCTTCAGAGGCAACTTTCCTAAAGTTGCCATTCCTTCCAAGAGGAAGGAATGGAGTCCTACAATAACCTGTAACACACCGGTGTACTTCCACACCAGGCAGCACTTTGGGATATGTGATCTCATACTGGTGGTGTTTCCTCAAGTGAGGACCAGGTTTCCTCAACAAAACTAGAAATTTCTTTTTTCTAGAGCCAGAGAGGGTCTGCTCCTCCTCCAATCTTGTAACCTCCCCACTTATCACACTAATGAGGCCCCAAAGGATGCTCACATGCTCATGTCCACAGAGGAACTGGCATCAAGACGGTGGTACATGCATGCCCCTTACAAAGCTGCTTTCCTGGCAGCTCAACCCATTCAGGCTATCAAAGATGCATTTTATTTTTAATAAATCTCTTTAAGGGCTGGAGAGATGGCTCAGCGGTTAAGAACACTGGCTGTTCTCACAGAAGACCCAGGTTTGAATCCCAGCACCCACACGGCAGCTAACAAGTGTCCTTAACTCCAGGTCTAGGGGATCCAAAACCCTCTTCTGTCCTCCACAGGCATTGCATGACACAGGTGCACTTACATACATGCAGGCAATACACACATGTAAAATAAAAATAATTAAAAAATCTCTTTAAATATTGAAAAAGTGAAGCTGAGTCATAGACTCTATTTTCAGGCCATTAAAGGTCCAATTTGACCAGTCTACTGCCAAATATGCCAGTGGTGCCATGTTGGAGGAAATGGCAAGGTACAAGCATTGTGTCCACAACTAGAAAGCCTTCTACAACTTCCACCTTGTTTTGCGTTGGACCTGATACTGAGAGATCCAGGATGAGATAAAATTCTTTTAATTACAACTAGTTATAGCCGCATAGATAGTTCATTCCAGCTAATTTTTTTAATCTAGGGGAACATATACAGTCTGGAGCTTTCGAGTTTTGCTTCATATATGGGTATGTGTATCAGACAGCTCATAAGGGCCTGTAACTCCAGCTCCAGGAGCTCTGACACCCTCTTGTGGCCTCCATGTGATCTCTTCTGGCCTTCATGGGCACTGCATTCGTGTGAACACACACACACACACACACACACACACACACACACACAATTAAAAATTGGGGATAGAGAGATGGCTCAGCAGTTAAGAGCACTGGTAGTACTTGCAGAGGACCTGGGTTCAGTTCCTAGCACCCACACAGTGGCTAATAACCGTCTGTAACTCTAGTTCCAAGTGACCATGCAGCTTCTTCTGTCCTTCATTAGCATTGTATGCATGGATACACTTAGATATGTACAGGCAAAATAATCATACACATAAAACAAAAATAAATAAATCAAAAATTTAAACAATAAGATAAAATATTTAAAAACATTTTTTAAAGTATTAAAAGTCCAGTAATGCCTCTTTGCTAAATTATTAATGGACTAACTTGACAGCTGTTTTCCAGCCTGTCACATAATCAAAGGCTCATTTATTATGGTTATTTAAAAGTCATATATGTGAAAATTATGAATTGTATATTTTGAATAAAAATCTGCACAAATTCAGTGAAATTTGATAAAGCAAGGATGCAAATTGGGCAAACAGAGCTATTTATTAGAATTCATCAATTCCAGTAAAACGGAGTTGTGATCACCTTGTTACGAACCATAAAGAATGATTACTTTGCATCATGAATTTTAGATAATCCTTCTACTTGCAAAACCTAGATGGGGTGCAAAATGTTCACTGCTCACCTATCTTCATAAAGTTAAATTCCACCCCACAGCCCACAACTTGCCACCTAGGTTCATCACTGGCTTCTGTCCAGAGCCAGCTCTCCTTCATCAAGCCCAGCTATAGGTAGATAACTAGGAAACACTTGGGGAAGCTCCTTAAGTTTTCCTGGTAAATTTGTTAGATTACTCAATGGGTGCATTAACAGGTACCAGGAATGATGGTATCCATTACCATAGGAACACAAGTCATTTAGTCATGAACTGCTGTGAAAACAGCAGGGCTTCTCTGATAATTAAAAACCTGACCAGTCTTTGGGTTTGGAAACATCTTCATTAAAAAGTTATTATGGGGGAGCTCATCCTTCCATGAGATGGTTCAACAGTTAAGAACACTGGTTGTTCTTGCAGAGGACCAGATTTAGTTCCCAGTACCCACATGGAGGCTAACAACCACGTTCCAAGGGATCAAACATCCTCTTCTGGGCTCCACAGGCACTGCACACATATGATACACTTACATACATGCAGGTAAAACACTCATACACAGAAAAATAAAAATTAAAAAATCAAAATAAAATCATAAGGGATAATATAAAAGTCCTACTTAAAATTAAGTTTTATTTCAATTGACATTCTTTGAATTGATTCTGATTCACTGTAGCCTTTGACAACAGCATGAAGAGTTTGGCCTATAACTTATATATTAGAAATTTCTCTTGCTTTAAGAAACTTTTGTGATAGAATTTCTTCCCTTTAACCTTTCTAAGTCAAGACTGAATTTATCATGATACAAGAAGTAGTTAATTGATGTAAAAATGCACTTTTAGAATTGTTTCTCTCTGATTTACCTATATCCTTCTGTCTACAATCATGATGATGTGAATTTTGGTTGTCAGCACCATGATCCGTGTTTTCACGCCTTTTTGTATTTCCTTGAATTACTTAAACCTCTCTCCTAGGATAAGATAATGTGAATGAACCAAAGGACCTTCCACAGAAACACCTCCACATCTGTTCTTGGGGAATCTGAATAGAAGGCAAATAACCTTTATATCATCACTCTATTCCTAGCATGCATTCAATTCACTGCAATATTTAGCCAGTTCTGGGAGAGAAACATGGGGGAGTTTATTTTTTATTGTCAGGTAGGCAAGCCCTGTGAGAACATTCTGATATTCCATGCGTTTGTGATGTGAGGGCACTTTCAACCAAGGGTGTGGTCTTTCACACCAAATTATTAGGTTGTTCTGACTTACAGGCTCTGGCCACAGACAAAGGCTTCTACGTCCTTTCTTTGTCCTTTCCCTCCTTCCTTATTGACAGGGCAGCTCTGTTTGGCCCCCTTCCTTCTGTTGGCTAGTCATCTCATCCTCAAAACAGCTGGTGGCTTTGCGTCTCTTGAGAGGAAGCACAGGACAAGCCTCTAGATCCTCCAGTGCATTTGTGCGTTCTAAACAGAGAGGTAGCCAGATTCTTTGCTCAAACTTGATTTTGGAAAAGCTCAAAGAATGACACTAAAGTGCACGAATAAGGCATCTTCTAAGAGGTAGGACAGCAATATCAAATGCATCATTTTGAAACCAACCTGGCTTTGTTGATGTGCCTTAGACGGAATGGAGCAAATGTTCTTATTGTCTTACAAAACTTGTTTGACATTAGAGATCCACTCTAAGAATTCCACATTTACACATCTGCACTCTCCTCCAGCAAGGGTAAAATTTACATGCAAATGTAATTTTCAATGGAAAACTTGATGACCAGGTAATTAGAATGAGTTATAAGAAGTCTACTGTTATGGTAGTTTCTTAGTTAAAATTTAAAATTCAAAGTTAATGACTAAGCACTGTTAATCAATAATAGAATGTATGAAGTGAATTTGTTAATTTGTCTTAAAAATATCTTAGCAGCTATTCTAAAATTATGACTTATTAACTATCAAATTATTTCTTACATAATAATATCCACATGGTGTTAATGGGCATCTATACAAGTGAAAATATTTAATTCAGGGATCTGCTTTTGCAGTGGTATATAACAGAGAATTACATTTGTTTCCACGTATACTTTCAAATGAGCCATTTTATGGATAAGAGCTAATGGAGAGAGAGCTGAAAATTATGTGATGTAAATACACTTTACTCTGTCTCAATTTTATCTGCAAAATGGGATTATCTCCTTCATAGGTTTCTGAAGGACTCAAGCACAAGAGTAGTCACTGTATTTAACAGGTGTCCTTCCTGTCACCCTTATAAGCATCACCTGTGCTAACTAGCTGGTTAGCCATCTGGGATCATGTGAATGTCTGTAACTACTGAAGGAAGTACTCTCTGAAGGTCTGTGGGTCAAAGGAAGATCCTCTTCACCCTTCCTCTTCCCCCACCTTGCCTGACATCAGAAGGCAACGCAGAAGTAAATTCTGCTAACATTAAAAGCATAACAGTTCCTGCTCTAATTATGAGGCAATTAAGATAAAATTAAAAGAATTCATGTTTTCTAAATAGATACCCACATATGGGAACATAATGAGGACAGGGAATGTGCTAGTTCATTAGTAGCAGAACGTGAGCAAATGAGAAAAGATCTCCTAAGACCATTAACATAGAGGACAAGCCATGCCCAGACAGAGAATGGCACTTAGTAAGCACTGTCACTTCACAAGCATCACATGCCATATCAGTGGCACTACATTTCACAAAGGCTTCTGGGAGAAGTCTTTAAAAAATTACAACCAAAAAACCTTACTTTGAAAAACACCAAAGTGGTTAAACCATCAGAGACACAAAGACCACAATCGTGTTTATGCTCCTCAGGCATAAACCTGCCTTGTAGTATACAAAATGACCAGCTACACAATTTTTGTGGGGCCCAGAGAAAAATGAAAATGAGGAGCCAATTGTACATTGACAAATAAAAATACAAGGAATTACTTAAAATATATATTAAGAGTTTCAGGATGATGACATAAGATCATTTACCAAAGTAAAGGACTGTGCTTATGAAACATGTACTTGGTCTTTGACTCCTTTCCTGATATACTTTTAAAATCATTGGAACCTCTTAAGTGACAAGAGTCTTTGCATGTTAATGATTTACTGATAGCTGATAGATTCAGCAAGATGAGATATAGTCACTGGGAAAACCAAGGCAAGGTTCAAGAACTGAGACTTTCATCCTTCAACCTCGAGGAAGAGATGTTAGGGAGTTGAAGGTTAAATTCATCACATATGGCCTATGATGTGATCAATCATGGACATGTAATGAAGAACCCCAAAGGACAGGTTCAGAGAGCTTCTGGATAGCGGAGCATGTGAAGTTTCCTCAAGGGTGATACCTTGGGGAGGGCATGGAAACTTCATGCCCCTTCCCACATTCCTTTCCTGATTCACCCATTCATCTGCACCCTTTGCAATATCCTATACATTAAACCAAAGCATATGCTTCTCTGAGTTTTGTGAGCTGTTCTACCAAGGAAGAGGACAGCGGAACTCCACCGTATAGCCTGTTGGTCAGAAATACAAATTAAGCAAGGTGGGGCTTGCAGTTACCACCTGAAGATGGGCAAAGGACAGTTTCGGGAGCTATGGAGTTTGATACTATCTCTACGTAGACAGTATCAGAAATTGTTTGATTTAGGGGGTAGCCAGCTGGCATCCACTACAGATTTGATCACTTGCTTGTTATGTATGGAAACACCTCCATATGCTTGGCATCGCAAGAATTATGTAGAAGTATAGTGAGAGAAAGTGAATTTGGTTGACTATTCACTCTTCGTCCTTAGAAGGAAACTTTTAAGATGCAGATGCCAGTTAGCATCAATGTATTGCAGTGCTATTGCATACATTTTTTACTCACCACTGTGACTGCATCATTGAGCAGTGACTCTCCAAAGACCAGGATGTAGAGTTGTTCGTTGACATGAATGTTCTCAAAGACAGCGAGCACAGCCACAGGATCGACAGCTGAGATCAAGCTCCCGAAGAGCAGGTTCTGGAGCAGAGTGATGTCACTGAGGCCAAACGCTTCAATCTGGCAGATGCCAAACAAAGATACCCCAATGCCAATGGAATTCCACAGTGTGCCTACCACAGCATACCAAAAAATGGTGCCAAAGTTCTCAAAGAAGGGGCGAGTGGGCATGAAATAGCCAGCATCCAGAACGATGGGGGGCAGGAGGTATAAGAAAAATACATCGGTCTTCATTGCAGGGGGAGATTTTTCATCAACACCAAAGATAATCCCTCCTAGTAGAAGTCCAACCATTATGAGAAGGCAGCTCTCAGGCACAATCGTGGGCAACTTATGGTAGAGATGGAAGCCTGGTAAAAAGAAGCACAGACACAAAGTCTAGGTTATGCAGGAGCTGGAGAAAATGGGAATCAGTCCTCTTAGAAACAGTGGGTCCAATTCCCAAGTCTGGTTAGAGATTGGCCTCCAGATTGCAAGATGATTCCCCTTCAACCACTTGCACTTATTTATTTACATACATACAATACATCCTATTGAGGCACAAACTGAGATTAAGTCAGAATTAGAATGCTTTAGGTACTCATCATCCATATAGCATAGTTTTCGTCTCTCTATAAACTTATTTTTTCTTAAATATTGGCACTACAGAGTTGGAATAAAATAATACAATTTTTGGGTGTGTACATTATACACGTTTGTGTATGTGCAGGTGTTCATGTGTGTGGAAGTGCATGTGGCGATCAAAGGTCAACCTCTGGTGTTGGTCCTTAAGAGACTTCAGGGTCCCTCACTGGCATTAGAGTCTCTAAGAGGCTGCCAGTTTGGCTGGCTGGCTGGCTGGCTGGCTGGCTGACTGGTCAGTGCATTCAGGGATCCATCTGTCTCTGCCTCTAAGGCACTGATATTACAAGCACATGCCAGCACACCCAACTCACTTTAATTCTGAAGATCAAACTCAGGTCCTCCTGTTTACCCAGCAAGTACTTTACAGACTGAGCCATCACCCCAGCCCCAAACAGCACAACTTTATACTTGAAACAATTTAATTCTTTTTAGAACTTCACCGGATGCAACATTTCCTTTCCTTTCTACAAAAACCTTAGCAAGTAGGCATGGCAGGGTTTTTATACTTTTCAAAACAGAAGTGACAAGCGGAGCTCAGAGCCCTCCAGAGGTCAAACCAAGATCACAAGTCAGTTTCGAGTTTGCTATTGCTTTCTCTGCCGTTCACCAAAATTAGTAATTTCTCTACTTTTAATTTCAGAATCCTTCATTTTTAATACTGAATATGTTCAATTTTTTGAGATATAGGCTCCTGCAGAACCAACCTAATCAATTCATCAAGGTGCATTAACTCCTTCATGAAGGATATGAACAATAATTTCCCATATGGAAGGGCTCCCAAACAAGTGAAGTAACAGGCGCATCTGTGACTTACTCCAGGCCAATGCAAAGTGGACTCAAGCCTCTCCTAAGAGCTCTGAGACTACAGAGGAGGAGGAAATCTGCTGAGGAAGACACCCGGGGTGGCAGTATCCATGCTGATCTCAAACACGAGTAGGCACTAAAATAGGCGTAGAAGAAAGGAAGAAAGGAAATATCTATCTCCTACTCCATGGTGGAGCCCAGTGTGCTTTAAACACAGAGAACACCTGAGCAGAGGCCTGTGGCAGAAAAAGGACAGGAATACTGTTAGGGCAAGGGCATGAGCGCCACGTGGAAAGTTTAGAAATAAAGCAGGATATGAGATTGATGATATGATATGATTGATATGATATGATATGATATGATATGATATTGAATGAGTTGCTTCCCAATTCCAATATGACAGGATTAAGAGGTGGTACTTTGGGAGGTGATTTTGATATGGGTAGAAGCAGTCTCCAGTGAGATTTCAAGTGTGAACAGGATGCACTGCATGGCTCCAGTGACAATGATCTATGGAGCTGGCATGGCAGCAACACAAAACTCCAGAAGGAGATGCTATGGCAAAGATGACCAGAAAGTCCACACAATAGCAGGAAAATGGCTCGAACTCCGAGGTGCAGACTGTCCTGTGGCACCCTCTGACGGCCAAGTGTCTGCTTCCTTCCCATTGCAGCTGTGGAGAGTGGAATGGAGTCTCTGACACGAATGGGAATCCTTTGAGTGGGTTTGACATCGCTCACCACCACCCTGCCCCATCTGACAGGCGTTTCCTGACTGGTCTTCATTCTATACCTAATTTCTATCCACACCCCAAGTCAACCAGGACCCATCTGGGTCTTTATATCATGGTGCACTGGATTGTTAACTTGCTAGTCCACTCAGGCAAGACCGTCACTCATCCAAGAAGGAAAAGAAGGAAGACTGCTCCTGTCTCTGAGACCGCTGGAGACAGAACTTGGAAAACTCAACCTGTGGTTGGAGGCAGAGAGACTTGTTCCTGCCTCAGCCTCCCAGACTGAGCACTCTGACTCCAGACAGAAATTCACTCCTGCTCTGGGGATTGACCTACTCTTTGTTTCCTGCCTTGTGAGATACACTGCTTCTGAGACCTGCTCTCTCCATGGTCGTTCCAGGAACAGCTGCTATGGTTGGAATCCCTGAGAACCTAGACTGTAACATTCTCTGGCCACCTCTCCGTTGGTAGTTTGCTGTCACCAAGGCGCTCATCCTTTGTTCACCCTTGGCTCCTTTGTTCAGGAGGGCAAGATGAGAACCCATTTGGAGACAGGAGAATGTACTGTCTCAATTGGGCAGGAGTGTCCTTTTTTGTGAACTAGATTAAAACTCTTAAAGAAGAGGCTTCCTGCAGTATTTGGTAAGACTGCTTTTCACCAACTCTAATCTGGTCTACTGCCATCTGCCATGTAAGGAGACAGCAGAAAGACCCTCACCAGAGGCCAAAAGCTCAGGCATCTTGACCTTGGAGTTCCGGTTTTCAAAACTGTGAGAAAATCTCTTTTGTTTTAAATCACCCAGGATATGGTATTCCGTAGTAGCAGCAGGAACAGTTTAGGTGGAAATGTATCAGAATTCTAGGAGAGTAGAACTGAAACGACAAAGTAAGTCCTCAGACACTAATAGTCACAGGCCATTTAATAAGTAAATTTATTACAAACAAGACTAAAACCACAGCATGAAATACTTTGTGAGCTAAAGCAAAACAATTTAAAGGAAAGAAAACCCACTGACTTCTAAACAATAAAATGAGCATCTGTATGTGGGGTATTCAAATCATCTCTCCATTGCTGGTTATTTATTTAGGACACTAGAGCAAGTTATAGTAATGTAGGAGTAACAAGTGAAGTGTTAATGTATCCAATGGTTGCAGCTGTTCCCTACCCATGACCTCTGACCAGCCCACTGACTTCACTGTCAAACAGAATAAGAAATTCTCTAAAAGTGCCATCTTTGTAATCTCCCTGCGTGCCACCTCCTTTCACAGCCAGCACTTCCTGTGTGATAAGGGCAGCAGCCTCCTGGGGCAGCCAGGATCCAAGCACTCCCTTCTGGAACCCAGGCCCAAGCTGAAAGTTTCCTGCGGTGGGCCGCCAAGGCTGCCATCTGCCCACTGTCCACAGCTTGAAATCCAGCTCTCCCGATCTGCCTGTGACGGTGAATGGGCTGCCAGCGCAGCCAAGCTCCTCTTACTCATCTGTGAAATAGAGAAATATGCAGCTCCCAGGTAAACATCTGCAACAATGACTGGGTTGCTGACAGCACAGCACTTCGCACTGTGTCTGCAACATCATTGATGCCCCATATTTTAGCTGCCTCCTCCACTTCATAGGAAAAAGCAAGGGAAAAAAAAAAAACAAAAAACAAACACTTGTAATGAGATGCAGACAAACACAATGAACCGCTAGAGGCAATGCAGAAATGGAGGAGGCCTGTTCTGAGACACCCGCCTCCTGTTCTTGTCTTTTCCTTTCTTGTACTAGCCCAGCCTCAAGGACCTAAGGCTGTCTCACAAAGCACTGCTCCTCCCTGTGTAGAATGCACTTTCTAATGCCCACGAGTGGAGAACCGGAAACACAGACTAAAGCAAGGTACAGAAACAGAGACGGTATCCATGTAACCCAGATGATAATGCCTGCCAAGCTCATGCAACGTGCTAGGTTCTGACTAGGTCGTTAACCAGTAGGAAACAGCCAAGGAGAAGCAAAACAGCATACAGCAATGTAGGCACAGATGCAATTAGAACAGCAGAGCAACGAGGCAGAGGGCCAAGGAGGCACTAGGAAGGGATGCGGAGGAAAATCACCATAGAGCAAAAGCAGAAAGAGCAACAAACAGGGACACTTGGGGGATGGAACATAAATTCGTACTAAACAAATCTTTTCTCTTTTGTTTTATAAATGCTGTCAAAATAGATCTTAGTGACCCATCCTTGAAGTAGGACAGTAGCTACTGAATCTGCCCAGTTGTTCCACGAGCAAGAGGAAGGAAGATTAAATGAAGGGCAGTCACAGGAGTCCTTATTGTAGTGCCCTTCCAGGGAACATAGGCAGTGGCATGCAGTGCCCAATGTGACCGTCAGCTGGTAGAAAATACTGTGTCCCCATGACTATGCTTTAATGAGCAACTGGAATCAACTAGCAAAGTGGCTAGTCTAAAAAAAAAAAAAGGCCTCTTAGACGTCATTATTCACATGAATAGTTGGAAGTGCTTGGCCCTGGATGATGGTCCCACCTCAGAGTATCAAGAAATGTATTAGCTATTGGAGAGAAAAGTCAAAGGGACACTTTGATGATTTTTGTGAGGCCCAACCTGAGTGCTACAGGGATCACCTAGACTGCATAGTCCAGAGAATGGCCAACATTTTAATAACAAATACTTTTAGCTTGCAGATCATACTTTAGTTTGGTTCTCAGTGCCAAAGCAGCCATAGGTAACAGAAAAGCGAATGGGTATGGCCAGGTGTCAATGAGGCTTTGCTTGCACACACTGAAACCAGAATCTCATTCAGTTTCACATGTTGCTTTGTTCTTATTTAGATTAGGTTTTATTCACTAAAAATGGGAAATCATTCTCAGGCCACAGACCATACAAAGGCAAGAGGCAAGCCATGCTTGGACTCCAGGCTGCAGAGTTACCTGCCCAGGTTCAATCTAGTCTTTGGATTTCCTGGTAACTTCTGTTTATAGTTTAAGGGTTATTGTACTTCTTGTAATTCAATTTTTATTGTCACCACATAAAACTCTGCAAGGATAATTCTTTAAATTTTTATTATTCCATTTTAAAGACTTCTCAATGGGAGCACAGGAGAAGTCTCACATAAAATACAGAGTCAAACACTGCTCTCTCAGAGTGAAACTATTTTAACTTCGCTCTACATGCAAGAGTGGAAATGAGGTGAACTTAA